TAAACTAAAAAAAAACGTTTGTCCTAATATGATTATTATCATTATTATTAATGGAGTATTAACATGTGTAATCTCCAGCTAACAATGTCAATTCCAAACAGTCCATGGGCACGATTGGTATGGTGGTAGCAGCAGCATCATGGTCTCCCATGTCATCACATACGACAACAAGACGGATCTGAAGATCGTGTAAGGGAACAAGAACAGTCAATGTTATGTGGACCAAATGTAACGTCATATGGTCATGCCATATACCCGGCGCATAGGTCAGAACGTTAAGTCGGAGAATGACAACTCACGTACTCACAGAGCTCGTGTTGCAATCGATTGTCTCAGGCAGCAAGGCGTCACAACATTGCTTACGTCAACCAAATCTCCAGACATATCACCGATTGAACCTTTGCAAAGTTCTGGGCAGAAGCGTTTGCAACAGACCGCAGCAACGGTACATAATTTGCAACAGCTGGACCAGGCCTCACGAGAAGAATGGCGAAGGATACCTCGGGAGATCAGCATGCTCAGAGATGTCGTTCCTTCGTCGATGCTCATAGAGCATGGATCAGCTATTGACTCAACTTCATTTCTTTACACATCATTTCTGAATAAATTTGGGGAGTCCCTTTAATATCGTTCCTAGTATTGATGGGAAAACCCACACATCAACCAGAAGCGATATCATTCACACAGATGCATGTAAAACTGTGTTATTATGAAAGTTGACTGGACTTTCTAGGTTGAATTTATTCTGCATTTGTATCCCAAATCGGAAGCGAGATAATAAAACTGGTAGAGCATATCATATTCTCATTGAAATGGTCGGAAGCATGGTACTTTCCAATTTCAAATTGTACTACAAAGGGCGTGCGTTTTCCAAGCAAGAAATGATGTCATTCGAGTGGAAATTGCTTCAGATTTTTCATAGACTTCAAAGACATGCCTATCCAACAATTCATTTTCGTATAATCACAATTTGATAGTGATCCATAAGGTCAGGTGTATAGTGTAGTCGGAATCTGTGCTCTGTTTTTAGCAGAAATGTCTTATGATTACGGAGAGAGTTTATTAGCGTTGCTCATGTTTTGTGGTTTGGTATCGCATAGAGGTAAAGTAGCTCACGTTTTGCCATACGGTCGGCCTAAACGTTATTGCCCAGTTGATCATGCCACTTGAGGAGGGGCGGGTAGGGGAGGATTGCATCTTATCCCTAGAATGTCATTTTCCTATTATTATATAGTATCTAAACATACTGTGTGTTATTTGGGGGGTGGGATCGTTTCTGGGTTTTGTAGATGCACATTGCCCAGATACACAAAGAGATAATGTAAAGATTTACATGTTATATCTTACTCATTACCCATCACTTGTATGTTAAGAAAACACCAGTAAATCATAACTTGAGGAGTACACATACGTCACAGGATTGGCCTAAACATTGGTACATGCAGCTGTTGGGTTGGTTGCCTGGATACATTTGTTATACACCATCTCTTATTACAAACCTCTTGGAGAGTTATTATGTTGGTGGTTACACGTTAGACGCCATTCATATACAAATGCATCATGTATCACCAGAAATAATCCAAGGCCACGTTGATTGATCTCACAACTTTACTAATTGTATTGACACACGCCAACGCTAAATCAATGCTGTCGATAGATGAATTCTTCTTGTTGTCTTTGTTTTACCACCACTAATCCATTATGAAATCCCAAATATTGATCGATTGATTTTGTTGAGTTTATTTGAACACATTTATCTAATACGGAACAGGTGATATTGCCATAGGATGATCAAGCCTCTGGAAAAATATGAATGCAAAAATGTTTAAAGAAGGTAAGTGTTTGTTGCTAACGCTTCACATCAGTACTCCTGCCATGCACCAGAGGTCTGTATAGAATCAAAACTAGACCAGACAATCATGTAATATGTTGAGCTAAGTGATCATGCATATCTGTCTGTTATGCAGTCTTTTGTATGAATTTTGCCAAGTTGTTTTTACATATCTACCATTTCACACTATGTACAAGTAAGTCAATGTTTAACGCCAATCGACAGCAATATTCTCGATATTATCATAGCGGCCTGTAAACAAGTGGTAGATCGCATGAACAAAGATCCATGACACTGACATAAAATTGTTACCATACAACCCACTTATAGGCTGGCACATGGAGTACCAGGGTCCACTGTAAAACGTACTCCCCACGAGGTTATCAGATCCACATGCAGATAAAAGCTTGAGGGCGTTCCCATTTAATTATTTTATGTCATATCATTATATCTTCTCTCTGCTTAAGTGTCGTAATTGTGGATCGATGAACACTACTGCTAATATCACAGGTGGCCGAGTAACACACTCATTCCTACAAGAGAAATGGCAGCCCTATCCATGCTCGCTATTGTCACAGTGTTCCTTCATCACAAAACTAGTGCTGAAGATCATACCAGGAGTATCTCCATCAAACCGTATTCTGAGTGTACTCAGTTCGTCCCTCCCATAAATGAGACTGTAGTTGAAGACATACATAGCGTTGCCTCATGTGCTGTTCAGTGTGCCACAGACACCAGATGTGTGGCTTTCAGCGTGTCTGCAACTGATGACATGTGTATGATCCACCGCGAGATGTTCCTGACAAATATCTGCTACAGTGGAAATTGGCGCCATTACAATGTGAGTCAAAACTGTGTTGTGTTTTATTATACAAATCTTTAATGTTTGGTTTACATGATATGCGGATTTGTTTCTTATCTTCCAGACACTACACTTGAGCGAATTTGCATACCTTGGAAAAAGAGTGTTTGACAAAATGCCGTGATAGAATATCCTCGACCCATCCTATTCGACACATCTTTATGATAACATTTGGACGATGGACCAGTTGCTCAAAAATCACTAACACATACTCTCAAATTTCCCCTGCCACGTTGATTGTGTCGGCCATGTTTTTAAATCAGTCACTTGCCCTTGCATGTGTTTGTGATAGGGCAGGATACGCCCAACATTTGGCGAGCACCTGGTCACATTCCTATTTGACAGTGATCCATAAGCAGTTCTTGCGACAAAGTCGAAAGCGTACAATGGACATTACGTATATTAGAGATTTCTTATGATTATGGAAAAATATTTTTAGTCGCGTTTCCGTATCGCAACTCTAGCACAGGAAGAAATGTAATTAGGGCGTATTTTGAACCCCTGGCAATCCTAAAGTCACTGGAACCTTCAAATATTCTTATGAATGTTGTGGGACTTCTTTATATTCTGACTAGCCACTTGCCAAATTTGGATCAGTGGCATCGGAGAAATGTTGCCGTTGAGAATGAATCAGGTCCCTATTTCTTCATGTTCTTTATTTCCCTATAACCTACTCACAGTGGTACAAAGTATATACATTAATGTTATAAAGATAATAGTTGAGGCAATGATACTGTAAATGTGAAAATTATGGACATACATTATACTTCAAGTTTTCAAAAGAGTAATTTTGTCTTATCAAACATGCATTTGATAAATGTGTTCAGGCGCCATAATACCTTAGAGTTACTGTTTGTAAACCGTTTGTAGACTATCTAGTTTAATATAGTGGCTACGACTATGAAAACAAGACTTTTAGTAGGTAAGAATATAGTTCTTTTAGGTGATAGACAGTTGCACGAAAAACATTCACGAAATTCTTCTCCCACAGCTCCCGATTTACAAACTTACAGATTTGACACAGTTTTCAGTGAGTTAAACGGGTTTTATACCAACGACCTACTTGTGCAGTGAACATGACATCACTTGTATGAACAATATGATATCTCAACGGGGAACTAAATATGCATTTCAGACCTAAACATAGGCTTCAAAGCAATTGTACATCTTTCCCGTTGAGTTTAAAGTAATATTATTATTCCACTAAAGGTTTAAAGCATTGGTCGTCGCGCCTAAGGCCCGGGTTCGATTCCCGAAATGGGTACAATGTGTAAATCCCATTTCTTGTTTCACCCGCCGTGATATTGATAGAATTTTTCTAAAAGCAGCAAAAAAACCCCAACTCACTCACTCTTAAACACTTCTGAAAATATCTACAGTCAACTTTCATGTGTTTGACACATTTATGCCTTTTGCTTGAATAATGTTTGTGAATGTAAGCTGTGACAGCAGGTATTATGATAATGTATTAATGAGAGTAATGAGACATGAAGGTACACTACTATAACCCGCAAATGAAGAAAAGTTCTTTCATCAGTTTGTTTGACAAAAATGAATCAGTGATGACGGTCAATTGATATTTCAGTGTGGCTGATTCGAACCCTTTGAACAAATGATGTCAAGTGTCAATTTATTGTTCCAGTTTGCGACGCAATTGGTTTATTTTCGACGGATTTACAAACGCCAAATAGACAGGAGGAACCATGAACAATCATTATTTATTTAAACAATAACTATTCACACGTACAAATTACTCTTATCAACTTACAGGTCCAGAACCGCTGCATGAATGGGGGCGAATATGACAAGGACAGGCTGACCTGTCAATGTTATGGTGGCTATATCGGTCAGTTCTGTGAAAGAATCATGCAAGGTACGATGTTACATCATAATTGTCATTTTTAGATCAGACACTTCTTGAATTCACACATAAACATAACAGCATCATAAACATTCAATCATAGATGATCTTGTTTTGAATAATACGTTTCTTGGAAAGTGAAAAAGACATGAATTATTAGAAGAAGTTTATTTTAAAGCTCAGTTCTAGAGTCTGCTGTAAACGAGCTACTTGTTGATAAGAAAAAAAACATGTTTCATGGTTGCATATATCTCTGATTAGACTGGGCCAAATTTATCTGGGAATAATACTCTCTAAAGTTTTGCTCATGGAATGTTTACTTGTAAATTTGAGTCTTGCAACAATGCACTTCATAAAATATATATTGCGAACTTTCAGATTGTTCTGAAGGATATAACACAGGCCATTATTACAATGGGTCAGGAATATACTTAATTCAACCAAACATGGCGCCTACCCCATTCAAAGTCAGGTGCCTGATGCAATCCGGTGGCTATACATATATTCAACAGCATGTAGATGGATCTACCCATTTCAATCGGTCATGGCAAAAATACAAAGATGGCTTTGGGAACCTTTCCAAGGACTTCTGGTTAGGAAACGCCAAAATTGGTTACATTACAAATGGACGCGATGAAACGCTCAGCTTTATAACTAAGGATATGAGTTCCACCTCCACAAGACAGCGAATATACACATTTTTCATCCTGTCCCAAGATGGCCTTTACTCGATGACATACGAAGGAACATGGGGTCATACAATTCCTGACAGAAGTGGTGGTGATTGCTTGGATGATTTGAAGGGACAGCCCTTTTCCACATTCGACCACGATAACGATGACAGCACTCTGAACTGTGCTCAAAAACACCAGTCTGGATTCTGGTTCAAGAACTGCACCCCCTGTAACCCCAATGGCGTTTGGTCAGAGACTCCTGATGGTAAGAGAGCTGGACTACCTGAGGAGATGTTCTGGATACCTGTTATTGGAGATAACCTGTTGTTGTCTTGCACGATCTATTTGAAAGCCATCTAATTGCGTTTATTGCAGTATATGTATCATCTGTAATTGTCCCATGTGCCCAATATGCACATTCGGTAGGGATTAAATCATATACCACGTTTTACACCATGCATTTAGATCTAACATAAATATATCCAACGGTTTCATTTTAGTATAACACATAAGGTGGAGATATAGTTTTCATTTACAAATATATTGATAGTTAAGGCAAAATTCAGATTCTATTTTATACGCAAACACGTGTAGAAAATGTATACCCTTACGTACTGAAATAAAGTTTGCTCTACCCCAATGTGTCGCGTAATAAAGTACAGCTTTGCCCTGAACTATCATAGTTATAAAACGAGGACGCGTGCTTTCTAGTGCTATGATATCATATTAGTTGTTATATGGCGGTGTAATTTATTGTCAAACAATGATTCTAATAGTAAAACATTGTTTGCTTTGACTGTTGTGTACAGCATTACCACATGGATCTTATGACAAAATAAAAGACTTTGGCAGTCTTTCTAACCAACGAACTGCTAATGTAAGTGTTTTGAGTCTGTTTCCGGCTTCTCAAAGGCGGTCACACGAAAGGACGAAGCCCAAAGGATGCCATTCATTTGGATGATTTGTTGCTTCTCCTTCAAGAACCATTGGGACTGCACTAAGTTAGAACAAGACTATACACTGTGTCACTGAGGGAAATTAAACGGCTCCAGCAGCTTTTGCTGAGTGGTGGATCTACAGAGCCCAAAGTGTCGACCAGAACGTGGACTTGGCAGGTCATGATGTAAAATTCCACTACTTGTGGCTGCCAAGACTCGTCATACTGCTATCAACCTGCAGGTCATATAACCACAGGTGACTAGGTCATATAATCACAGGTGACTTCTCTATTGTTGACAATAACAACCTTCGTCAGTTTGTCAAATATGGACCAAAATATCGTGAGCAACCTCCTACCAGTTGGGAATAACAACTTTAAAATCGTTATGGGTACTGTCGAAGAAAATGCCAAAATATTGGCCAAAATAGAAGAGAAACCTGTTGAATAAATTTCAGAGTGGGTTAAGTGAGTGGGTAATGTTATCATTGGTAAAATGCACAATATTAAAAGAAAAAACATGAAAATCCGGAGTAGAATAGGTCTTCAGCAACCCCTGCTTGTTATAAAAGCGACTATACTTGACGTAAGAAGTGACTAAAGGGATCAGGTGATCAGGCTCGCTGACTTGGTTGATGCATGCCATCGTATCCCAACTGCGTGGATCGATGCTCATGATGTCAAATACTGGATTGTCTGGTCCGGACCCGATTATCTACAGACCGCCGTCATATAGCTGCAATATTGCTGAGTGTGGCGTTAAATTAAAAAAAAAAACAAAAAAAACGTGAAAAGTTTGTATTTGTGCCTTCTGACAAGGCCTCAGATAACATAACCGCTACATGTAAGCATTACTCAATTTATTGTTTGATCAAAGAACTTCGTATAAGTATTTTAACAAGGAAGAAATCTGCCATAACAATCAGTACTGTCAACTTTTGACTTGACTCTAAAACCTGAAGACATGTCCATTCATCTTTTGTACTGGATTCCAAAGCTCCATGAAAATACTTTCAAAGACTAACCATAATACTTAATATACTGAACAACAAAAGTTCCTGTGACATTGAATAAGATTTAATGCAAAGTTATGTTTTTTACCAAATCTGAAACAATTTCGGTTTGCAACAGATAAAAGACTCCTGTAAGTGTTCAAATGGTTTAATTTGCCATACTGATTTGATCCGTGATTTCATAAAAAAATATGAACATGCCAAAATGCCAATTTACAAATCAATAGCGTGTGTCCACCTCTGGTTGCGATGCAAGCAGCACATCTTCGTCTCATGGAGTGGACCAGGTGTCGCACAAAGTCCTGTGGGATATCTGTCCATATTTGCTGGAGCATGTTTCGAAGTTCCTGGAGTGTCTGTGGAACACGTAGTTGACGTCGAAGGCGCCGATCCATCTCATCCCACATGTGCTCGATTGGTGAGAGATCAGGGGAGCGAACCGGCCAGGGGATGACATTCACGTTGTTTTGTTGAAGAGAATCTTTAACAAGTCGAGCAATATGAGGCCGGGAGTTGTCATGTTGAAAGGTAATGCCTGGGCCATTACGACGCAAAAACGGTGGAACAACAGGGCCGATGATCTCGTCGCGGTAGCGCTGTCCACGAAGATTTAGCTCTACCACTATCAAACGGGTCCTCTGTCTTGCTGTAATCCGAGCCCATACCATAACGCTGCCGCCCCCGATCTTCTTCCATGGCACAATGATTAACGTAACGTTCACTTCGACGTCGGTACATTCGAATCCTTCCATCGCTGTGGCTGAGTTGAAAACGAGACTCGTCAAGGAATGGAACTTGTCCCCACTGCATGGCCGTCCAGCGTAAACGCTGCCTGCACCACTGTAGATGTTCTTGACGGTGGTTTCCTGTCAAAATGGGACGTCTGGCGACAATCCCCGCACATCTGAGGCGACGACGTACGGTTTGTGAAGATATTCGTCGAAGGCCAGGGATGCCTTTTGCAGTCACTGTTGCTGGCTGGAATCGATTTCGTAGGTGTGTATTCGAATCCAGTTGTCGTGTCGATTTTTGGTTACGCGTGGCCTGCCACTCCAAATGGTGTTTCTGTGGACGTTAAATTGTCTTGCAACATCACGTTGACTCGATCCTGCTTCAAGCATACCAATGGCTCGCAGACCCTCATTTTCGGACAGGCGTGGCATTTCGTAATGTTGAATAATTGCGTAATTTTGTTGTTTTTCTGAGTGGTTGTTGTCAGCACGATGCTGAACAATGCATATGGAATCCCGTTAACGCACATATTTTAATGCCCATTCTTGGGTAGTGAAATGCATTGGGCTTGTATAAAAGTCAACTTTTGCATGGAATGCATGCTTTTCTGTAGCAGTTACGTTTTTTGTGACTTGATTCCATACATGTACTACAATATTGAAAACCAAACTTTACTTGTTTGAAAAATACACTAAAATATTGGTGTCACCGGAACTTTTGTTGTTGAGTATACAATCAAGGAAGGACTTTCTTTATATTCACAGAAAGTACTTGAGACAAGTTGAAATAATACCATGCGGATTCTCAAAAACTCAAAGGATTTGCTTGAATTTGTGCAATCTCTGAAAGGAACCAAGTTCCATTCTGTCAAAACATTTGATTTTTCAACTTTGTACACACTTTCCCACGTGACAAACGTAAGGAAAAACTTACTTCCTTTGTTACAAAACGTTGTGACCACAGATACCGTTACGTATCTCTGTTCAGAGGTTCAGGACAATTTGTGGAACATGAGAGCAAATGCCATCTGAAGTTTACTGAGAAAACAATATGTGAAATGCTGGACTTCTTCATTGAAAACATCTCTAATTGTACTCTTATTCTTGTTGTTCTGTTTCTTTAAGCATATGAATCGGAATTTATGTTCGGATTGGCAAAGTCAAGATTGTTTTTGAACGACATCAGATCATCGATATACCGGATGCTTAATTGAAACTTCTTGGCCAAATTACCTTGTAATAGCCAAGTCTCTTTTACTGATTTACCCACCTGAATAAGCATTATAGGAGAACAGTGAGACCGACTCATCTGCTTCATATTTAGATCTATGCATGAAGATTCAGGGTGACAAAACACTCTCCAGACTGTATGACAAGATGGATGACTTCAATTTTCCCGTTGACAACTTTCCCTTGGCGTCGAGCAATATTCCAGCAGCTCCAGCCTTTGGTGTTTACATTTCACAACTTTTTTGATACAATAGAGCATGCGCTTTTACCAAGATTTCAAAGAGCGTCATACGGCTCTTGCTCAAAAGTTGTTAGATCAAGGTTACAACAGTTAAGGCTTCCGTGAAGCTTTCAAAACGTTTCATGGTTGACATGTGGAGTACATTTCCAAATTTGACGCATCGGTGAAATTATGTCCAATGCAATTCTTGACTTGCACTCTATGTTCCCGTCTTTATCAAGTGAACAATAGACTTCCCTCTGTATGTGTTTGTGACGGGGCAACCGGTGGTCACCTTTTGCGAACACCAGATATCATTACTATTTGAAAGTAATACATAAACACATGCTCATGATATAGTCGGAATCGTACAATCGCCTCTGCTTTAGGCAGAGATGCCTACTGGATATGGAAATGGTTTTGTCACTTTATTAAGTTCATTAAGTATTTTGTTGAGATTCAGTTGAAGTTAATAGCATTGTATTTGGGCAATGAGTACTTGTTAGGACCGCCGTCATATAGCTGGAATATTGCTTAGTGCGGCGTTAAACAACAAACCAAACCAACCAACCAACAAACTTGTCAGGAATTTAGTACTATTTAATGTAAACAATGGTGAGGAAGTTATTATGTTAAGATGCTTGAATTATCTGTTAACTTCCGGAACAGCATGGATGGATGTCAAGCCATACAGACCATAGAAATATGTGCACGTGACTCTTATAATGATAATTATGTAGTCTTCGTAAAACATCTAATCCACACACCAAAATCATTTGGAGAAATTCTAGCTGTTCATCTTCTAAAATAACAAAATGACACTGCGTTTGTTTTGTCAACACTGCTCTCATATGGTCTTCAGCAACCCATGCTTGCTGTAAAAGGCGACTCTGCTTGTCGTAAGAGGGATCGGGTAGTCAGGATCGCTGACTTGATTGATGTATGCTGTCGATCCCGATTCCTGCGCCCCTCATGGTTTATTCTCCCTGCAGTGTTTTATTGCAAGATAAACAATACCCACTCGTGGTTTATTTCGTAAACAAAGGTGGGATACTCAATAACCACGTGCGGATGCTCGCCCTAGTATGGATATGCCACCAATATTTCATTAAAAGATAACCATGAACGCATGTTTCAGCCAAGAACTGACAAACAGATGTGTGTTTCTTGAGTTTGTTTTCAATTACGCATAAAGTTTACGGGTTGGCAATATTCCAGTCTTATTATTCAGGCGTTTTATATACACATCCTTCATACTTCAATTGC